TTGAAACGTGTTCTTGTTGCTTTCTTGTTTTCCATGACAAATGTGTTTGCAACCGTTGGATTTTTGCAGCGGTGCAAGCACTTTCTTGAAATTGGTAAAGAGAAGTTTTTAGTTTTTTATTTATTTATAATTAATCTCATTTAATGAGTTGGTTCAATGCAAATTAAAGAAAAATAATGTTATTTAAGATTTTATGAAAAAATATTAATAGAATCTAAATTTAATAAATTAATTGCACTCACAAACATATACATGTTAAAAAAAAAAAATTAAAAGAAGGAAGAAGACTAAAATTTATGTTTAGCTTGAACCTAGCTTAGATTGAATTTAAACAACTCTAAAAAATTTTGAATTAAGTTTGAATAATTTCTCGATGCATTTGAGTCATACTTCATTAACAATCCATTTATCTATCATCTTGTTTTCAAAAATTTAACATTTATTATCTAAATTAATACATTCAAATTGGAAGAATTATTTTAGTGATCTTGAATAATGATCACATGGTGTGTTTTAAAAATAAAATATTATAATTAATGGAGAATGAATCATGGGAGAACATCAGATGACATGGTGGCTCCGTTTGGTAGAGCTGTGGAAAGTGATTATAACTTATAACTTAATAGCTTATAACTATGAACATAAGCTGATTTTTACTTATAAATTAAGTTTCTCCTCCCCCCACTCAAAGGATAAGTTGATTTTTGACTTACAAAAAGTTACAACCTGTATTGTTAAGTTGAACCAAAACACATTAAAATAATTTAAATTAAATTAAAAACTAAAATAAATTGAAAATAAACTTTACCAAACAGGGTCGGTGTTTGGGCAGTGGTACTGCACCAAATAATTTTTCTCATATTGGACACTACTTGACAATGGCTTAGCACATGGGCATTTGATTCGGATTAGGACGGTCATAGGCCACGTTTGTTTCGTTTACATGTAGGATTAAGTGTAGGGTGAAATTGAGTAAGAACATTATTAGTATAGTATTATTAAATTAGATTTGTAAGATAAAAATATTTATTTATATACTATCAAATTAATAATATTATAAATAGTATTTTTTTGTTCTAAAAATATAAATTTATTTTTAAAATTCACTATCTTCTGACTTAATTTCTAATTCCAATCCCTCTACAATCTTTTATATCAAACCTTCTTTAAATGAGCCTCATGTACTATTAATAAAAGGGCAATGTTACATCTAATCGTTCAAATTTATACACAGTAGTCATCCGAAAATAAAAACGTAACAATCACGAGTAACTGACAGAAAAGAGTTGCACCGGTGATTCAGACAGCTTACAAAATGTGGGCTATACGATTCCGGGTTTTACCTCTTGTTGTACAGTGATCCAGACTTGATTCCGTGAATGGTAGCAGTTGTTTATATCTTGTTTACATCCTTTCGTACTTTGTATTTGAGTTATAGAACGTATTGGGCGTGTTCAGGTAGATTGAATTTTGGTCTCAAGTGTAGTTGCCCAGGTTTTTGGTGTTACGCTCGAGCGATCATTCTGCGCTCGAGCGGAGTTTGGTTTTTGGTTGTCTACTCGAGCGGGCCTTCTTGCGCTCGAGCGGGATTTACACACTTCCAGTATCTCGTGTCCTTGCAAAACTTCTGCAGGTGTGTTTTTCACACTCGAGCGGGTCGAGCTCAAGCGGGTATGTTGGCGCTCGAGCGGGTAGTGCTTTGTCTGTGAAAGTTCTGGGAGGGAGAATCTACGCTCGAGCGGATTGGTTTTCGCGCTCGAGCGGATGTACTTTATCCTTGTGTCTTGGAACTTGAGCGGGCCTTCTTGCACTCGACAGTGTCCAAATTTTTGTGCTTGACGCTCAGCGTTCTATTATCCGTTCGAGCGGGAGTGTCGTATATCAGTGGGCAGCTGGGTAATTTTGAATCACTTTTTACATTTCCTCTCTCTCTCCTACTTTTCTCAAAATCGTTACTTTTGAGAGCCTCTCTCTCTAGGATCTCCCTTCTCTCTAGGGTTTGATCTAGTTAGAGTGTCTCCCTATCCTCCGGCCTTTGTAAAAAGTGTGTTGATCGTCAAGGGCTTCGTTTTGATCTGAGAATTGTGGTGTTTGGAGCATTTTCACTTTCTTCTCCTTCCCCATTTGAGCTCTAACTTCGAGGTAGGGATATCCTACTCCTTCTCATGAGTTTTGTCTTTGAATTTTAGTATTTTGATGAGTTGGGGGTTGTTGGGTAATTTTGAGAAAGTTTGGGGCCTTTATGTAATTTTACAAAAGAAGGGGTTTTACTTATATAAACCTATATGCATGTTTAACATGGAGAAATGAAATAAATGTTTGGTTATTGATAGAAATGGAATCTTAGGATTGTTTTGTTAATTAAGGGAAATGCCCTAATTGCATTGATGATTTAATTTGTGAAATTTGTTTTGAGAAACGAGAAGTTGAATTGAGAATGTTGAAACTGGGAACGTATGGGATTAAAGAGTGTAGTTGGATCATTTATCACTCACCTAGTTGAAATGTTGATATTTTATCCATTTGGTGCATTTATTTTCTGTTTAGAAATAACTGTTTTGGGCTATCGGTAGAAGATAGTCTTGATTGTTATAGACAATGCATGACGATTATGCAAACTAAAACTAATTGATTGAGTGTGCTATCGAGTATAACGGTTGGAATAATACATTAACTCTATGTATTGATTGATTGTGTATATGATCTAAGTTTATATACATTGTGTGTGAGAGGAGATAGGGGATGTACTCCACGGCTTAGGGGAAGATAGGGGATGGACCTCTAAACCGGATTTTGTGTGACATTGATACAGCACTACAATGTGTATCAAGTGTGGATTATGGAAGTGTTTGAATTGATTTGATATAGCACTAAAATGTATATCGTTATCAATTGTGAAGCACAGAAATGTTCCTATGTGTTATTGATACAGTACCAAAATGTGTATCCATCATGAATTTCGAAAGTGTTTTAAAGATGAGTCTTAATCTCATTAAGTTATCTGGCTAGGTTCTAAGCCTTGTTTTCAAACTCGAAGTTGACTAAGAAATGGAAACTGAAGTGTGCCATGGACATGACTGTCGTGAAACTGTAATACGACATATGTTGGAGTACAAGTGTGGACCATCTATTGAATGTTATTATTTTAGTCATTGTTTATAGTTGGTTTAGTATAATCTTACTGGGCTGTGGCTCACCCTATATGGGATATCATTTTCAAGTACAGGTAGCATGCCACTTCCAAGGACATAGCTTGGAAGGCTCCAGGCTGTTGGGCTGTTTTGTGTTTCTTATTATATTACATGTATATCAAGCCAAGTGCTTTCTGTGTATAGAGTTAGTACTCCTTTTTGTAACAAAGTGTTGACTTGAAAAGTTGTAAGCTCATAAGGGCATTTACTTTTTATGTCAACATGTAATACATTTTTGTAAAAATTATTCTGATGGAATATATTTATGCTTTATTCACTTGTGTTTAAGCATGCTATTGTTGGATGATTTTTTAGTTTATTTTCGAGGGCGTTACATGGGCGAACTCAAATTTATTCAGTGTATCATAGATTTTTGAAAGGGTAAATTACATAAATAGTCCTTATAGTTTGAGACATAGGTCATTTTGGTTCTTAATTTTTTAATTGTGACATATTTTGACCTTCAATTTTGAATTTTGTTCTAAATAAGGACAATTCAAGGTACCATTGTTTAATTTCAAGGATAAAATTGTCAATTTAATAAAATATAAACTAATTTGACAAAAATAAATGTCAAATAAATATTTTAAATTTTTAAAAAATTATTTTTATCTACCAATGATAAGATTATGTAAAATTGATAAAAATTAATAAATTACATGATTAATTTTTGGAAAATTTACCCATAAGTCCTAGTTTCTGAAAAGTTGAACCATTTAGTCCTAAAAGTTATAAATGTTTAAAATAATTATTAATTTTACATAATTTTATTTTTTGTGAGTAAAAATAATTTTTTAAAATTTAAAAATATTTGTTTGACATTTATTTTTGACAAATTAATTTATATTTTATCAAATTAACTATTTTACCCTTAAAAAATCTAATAATATCTTCAATTATCTTTATTTAAAATAAAATTTAAAATTAAAAACTAAATATATCATAATTAAAAAATCAAAAATCAAAAATCAAAATAACGCAAGTCCTAAATTAAGGTCTAGTTTGGGAAGACTAAATAAGTGCACTTTTTGACTTTTTATGAAATATGGGTTGGGTTTGGGTTGGGTTTGAAGTGATATGTTAGAGAGGTGATGTGACTTAAATAAGATGATGTGACTTAAATAGGATAGTGACTTTTTGACTTTTTATCTTTTTTCAATCATGCCAAACTTGACCTAAATTATGAGGACCACAGATGTAATTCACCCTTTTTGAAAAGGGTCCTGCTACGTTTTATGAAAACTGTCATGAAAACCATCTGCATCGTTGGATCATGAGACACATACCTGATCTAACGGTGCAGATGATTTTCATGACAGTTTTCATGAAAATTCTTCAAGCCCTATCTACTCACTCGGCTTGGTTTTACAATTACAACCGACATTGGCGGGAAGAGGAGGGTTTTTCTACATTGAAACGGTCTACGCCTATGTTCAGGGCTCAATCCGCAGAAATCTCAGCTCGATTCTGTTCCTTGGATCTTGTCTGTTTGTTTGGACTGCTTGTGTGAGTTCTGAGTCATTCTATTTCAATTTTCTTTTTTGGGTTCAATTTAACAGCTTTTGTTGTTTCCCTTTATATAGACCCAACTTGTTTTCAACATAAACATAGTTGTACCCAGGTTTCTTCTCATGCTCAGTTGATCTGCTGTTACTTCATTGATTTAATCTCTTTTCCAATTAATAACTTTTTCCCCTATGGCAGTGGAGCTCTAATAAGTCTATTTAAGGTTTTCAAGGGTTCTCTGATTAAGGGTTTGTGGCAATTTAATAAGAAGCAAGGTCTGTACTTTTGTTATTACTATATTATTTCTATGATTTCTTACTCAAATACATTGTAATTCTTTGTGTTCCTTTCTTGATTTGCTTATGACTATTGCTATTATACCCAACAAATAGTACCCATGCACACCAATTGTTTGTTGCGATGGTGAAACTTGGGTCTTGTAAAATTTTGTGAAAATTTTGAGTTACAGGACTGATCTTCTTGTCCTGCATAATATCTAGGAAGGTCCCTCTTTTTTCATCTTTTTTATTTTTCTATATCAATTGTACATTTAATAAGACCTTTTTGTTCCTCATAATACTTCCTGAAGGCATCTAATCTATGATGATGATTTTTTTTATTATTTGTGAATATGATGTCTTTATGTTGCAATATTGATATTTTTTATCCTCATTTGCTCTTAAATCCTATGTAATTCATGAAGATATTCTTTTTAATTTTCATCCCATTTTGTCAAGTAAAATGGAGGCACCTCCAAAATGATAAAACTGATAATTAGAACAAAATCACTCACAACTTACAAAAATGACTTTATCTAGGTAGTTCTACAGAAAAGAACAATGATTTATGCTATAAAAGAACTCAATTCATGATCCACAGAGTTTTAATGTGATGCCTAAATACCGACCATGCTATGCCCACAAATGCAAATGGAAGAAATAATCAGGATGGGGTTGAGTTTTTTGTTTTGTTTGTTGACATTCAATTAGAGATAGGAATTAAATGATGGGTTCTAAAAATAAATAAATAAATATGTCCTAGGTAGGAGTTGTAGACGTCCTTCGGGTGCAAATTCAGTTCCTTTTATTGTGCTTAGAATTTGATAGCATTTACGGATTATGTCTATCTATCTGTTTTATATATTTGTGCTTTCAAATGCTACTTTATTCAACATTTCATGTGAAGTTGAATATGCTTCCAGAGCATTATTGTCAAGTAACTCCATCTGTTGTGAAATGCAGTTCTAGCAATAGTACATAAATTAGTCCGACAAATAAAAAATGGAGACTCAAATTACAAACAACCGACTACCATACAAGGAAGAGAATATGAGCAAGACCATGAAGAAAGCCCTACTCTTATTGAACTGCACATTGTTAGCCCTAGGCGGCTCCGGTGGTCCAATTTTGTTGCGGTTGTACTTTCTAAAAGGTGGAAAGCGAATTTGGCTATCGAGCTTTCTAGAGACTGCTGGTTGGCCATTTGTTATATTCCCAATCTTGGTTTCATACATACACCGTCGAAGCAAGAAAGGTCCTTCAACCAAGCTCTTCTCTATTAAACCCATCCTTTTTTTCGCTTGCGCTGTTATTGGAATTCTCACTGGTTTCGATGATTATTTGTATGCCTTTGGTGTTTCTCGCCTGCCTATCTCCACTTCTGCTCTTATCATTGCCACACAGTTGGCCTTTACTGCTGGATTTGCCTTTCTTCTAGTTAAGCAAAAGTTCACTGCTTTTACTGTCAACTCGGTTTTTTTGTTGACCGTTGGATCAGTAGTTCTTGCCTTTCATTCTAGCACTGACAAAGCTGCTCATGAATCAAATAGGCAGTACTACATTGGATTTTTTATGACACTCGCAGCATCAGCATTGTATGGGTTTGTGCTACCATTGATCGAGTTGACATACCGGAAAGCCAAACAGGCTATTACTTATACTCTGGTGATGGAGATGCAGATGGTTATATCCTTTTTCGCCACTGCTTTCTGCACCATTGGAATGCTTCTGAACCACGATTTCGCGGTCTCTCTCTCTCTCTCTTCCCCCTGATTGGAGAAGAGTATGTTTGATATGCCTAATTAATCTTTAACCCATTTTGAGCTTACTGTTGCAGGCAATTCAAAGAGAAGCAAGAGAGAATGAGCTCGGGCAGGCCACCTACTATGTGATACTGGCGGTGACTGCAATGTTTTGGCAATTCTTCTTCTTGGGAGCCGTAGGAGTAATTTTTTGTGCTTCCTCGCTTCTCTCTGGTATAATAATTGCTACTTTGCTACCAGTGACTGAATCATTAGCTGTTTTGTTCTACCACGAGAGTTTCCAAGTTGAAAAAGGGGTTTCTCTTGTTTTGTCACTTTGGGGTTTTGTCTCCTACTTCTATGGCGAGCTTCAAGAAACCAAGAAAAAGAATCAGGAACCAGTTATAGAGTTGTCTCAATCACAAAGTCAATTACAAAATGATTCTCGAGTTGAATCAGATTAATACATTTTGCTCTTCTTTTTTCTTTTCTTTTTTTTTATTTTTTTTTATATAAAGTTAAGCTTGTGGAATTCAGTACTCTGATTTGTTGAATTTTAACAGGGAAATCAGAATATCAATGTGAAATATCATGGAAACTGTTTTTTTTTTTTTTCAACTTTACCTTGCTTATGTAAAAGAACTTTAGTCTGTGTTATTTGATAAGCTGCTTGTGGTTGAATCAGTGGTCTCCATCAACTAGCTACCTTGATATTTATATATATATGTATATATATATATATATATTAAAAGAGGTTACTCCACTAACCAAGTGTAATTGAATTGGGTAGCTACAGAAAAAAGAAGGGTAGTTTAAAATACCAATTCAAGTGTTTGTATTATATAATAGAATAAATAAATTATAGAATGGATGTATGCATATTTACACTATGAAACATGAAATTGTGAGATTATGCACAACAAAGATGTTTCTTTTGTCAAATTGTGATTCAAGTAAGTCTAAACAAACTTTGTGCTATTTTGAACTTGGCTTTACTTTGAGTATTAAAACTGTCACTGTTCAGCTCTCAGATGAATCATATCACAGTCAAATTAAACTTCAATTGGAATCCATGCCATTATGTTCTAAAATTGCATTTTGAAGGGATTGAGAAAGAATACTTCGGGTTATTTCGGGAAATTGAACTTTTAGTCAAAAGTTACTACAAAAAAGTTAATTATTCTTTTTATTTTTTTTATGTATATTTGTTAAAAAAAATCAAAAAATTACTAAAACAATCAATTCCAAAAACAATCCTTAGATTTGGTGGAATTTAGGTTAGATACAAGATGGCACAAAAATTGAGTGTTATTGGTTTTTTCGAAAGTTTTGCAATGGCTACTTCAGTAAATAAAGTTGGTGAAGGATTGCCTTGCTCCCATTTAGGATGCTAAGAAAAATCGGTAGAAATGAATCAACTGCTTAAAATTAATCCAAAAAAATTTAGGTCTATTTGTCATAACGTATGGTTTGTTACAATTTTGAAAATTTTTATATTGATATAAATTGAACCGATTGAAGTATTGTATTTTTAAAGACTTTTATATTTTAATTCTTTGAAACATTAGAAGATAAGTGACCAATATAATACACTTTCTGTGATAAAATTAGAGTGAGATATTTAAGTTGTGTTTCATCATAGATTTGAATAGATATTTCGAAAAAAAGAAAAAGTGAGTGAAATATAAATGAAATAAAGTTACGTTTCACTTGCATTTCACTCACAGATTTTCTTTTTCTTTTCAAATTCATGATTCAAACACAATCTTAATTTTCATACTTTTTCTTCCTTATTATCAATGTAAAATTCTATAAGTTTTTATAAACCCTTTTAAACTTCATGCAAATTCTCATCTCTAGCAAATGGACAAAACTAACAAAATCGAACCGTAACACAATCTATGTCAGTTTCTCAATCATCAAAATAAAAATATTCGATTACACTCTTACTTTTATTTCATTTCAGTCACAAAATAAATTGGGACAAGGAAGGGAATTTATAATAATTAGATATAAATATATAATAATTGCAAACAGACACCATCAAGTCAGGATGGCCGAGTGGTCTAAGGCGCCAGACTCAAGTTCTGGTTCTCGTGAGAGAGCGTGGGTTCAAATCCCACTTCTGACAATTTTTTCTTTTTCCTTCAACTTTTGATTACACAATTTTTTCTACCTTTTTTTTTTTCAACTTTTTATTACACAATTTTTTCTCCCTCTTTCTTCAACTTTGATTACTTCACTTTATTTTCTCCTTTCTTTTTCCGTCAACTTTTGATTACACAATTTTTTCTACCTTTTTTTTTTTATTCAACTTTTTATTACACAATTTTTTTCTCCTTTTTTCTTCAACTTTGATTACTTCACTTAGGTGAATCAAGTTATGAAAAGTTTGTTTAAGTTCGATTTGTTAAGTAAGTTAATTTGTCAAGTTTTTAGGTTAAACTTAAACAACTTACTCGAAAATGCTATTCTTCTAATATTTTTGTACAAAAATACTCATCAAAACGATGCATTATGATAGGTTGAGGTTTTAAATTGATAAGCTCATAACTCAATATATCATTTGTACATATTTTCTATTCATATATCATTATTCCAAAAAATCAAGTTAATCGTGATTAATATGATTAAAGCTCATGTGAAATTAATTTAATTTTGAAACTAGTTAAACTTTAAACAACAACAACAACAACAAAAAAAGTAAAGGAAAGGAAAGAAAAAGAAAAACAACAAAAAACATGAAAGAAAAACAAACAAACAAACAAAAAAGTTAAAAACATTAGTAGTGTAGGTGTTGATTTCTGGCCACACAACCAAAATGGGAACTCAACTGGAGAATATCGACATAATAGATTAAGCCCAACAACTTGCACAAGAAGATGAGAATCTGGCGGTGGTTCGTCCACCCGGGGGCACTCCAACAATCACGTCAGTAAACAATACCTCTCACAGATAGCAAATAGTGCTTAAATTCACCAGAAAGAACTTTTCTCAGACCCACGAGGGTGCCCTGCTTTTACAACCGGCAGTGACCTGATCCCTATAGAAGCCTCACTTCAATGGACTTAGGCTCAATACTCATCCTGGACCCTCAGCTAGATAGAAATAAACTCTCATTGAACCTTATCCTTATTCAGACTGAAATCCTCCATTGTTCTAGGACTCTTGTCCCTTATCAGCCTATCTCGGATTCCAACATCTCCGCAAATAATCTTAACCTAACCGAGATCATCTCCATAGCATGACTACGTCACGTGGCATCTCGGCTGACACTTCGGCTCCACCTTAGCCACGTACTGTCATTCACAAAATACGTCCCCACAACTGTCCCCTAAGTTCTATTACCTCGGTAACCTGAGGTGATGGAACATATACCGTTTATCCATATAGCATGTCTGCTAAGATTTCATTTCTTTTTTATGACCAAGATCATGACTCATCGACTTCAACAAACCCAGGACTCAGCTGTCCACTTTTCTAAGGATCAAGAACCAAGAATTCAGTTCCTTAAGCATCTCATCCAAGATCGCTCCTCTAGCTGAGGTTATGACCTTATTACTTCAAGAATTTCAAGAGTTCTAACTGTGTACGAGCTGTCACGAACAGTCTTTTCAACCATTTCATCCTCGTGTCCCTTCCTCATTAGTTTGTACCTAACACGTGCTATTAGGGCGTGTCATTTTTGCCCACGCCGCTTGACAAGCACGTCATCCAAGGCATCTCATTACGGTTTGCCACCTTTTCGTGTTTTTGACAAAACTCTTCCTTTCTCTCTCCGTCTTTGCACTTTTGCACTTACAATTTCCCTCGACTCTCAGACTTTCTCTCTCTAAAGTTTCTCAATTTTTCGAGTTTTTTGTAACTGTTTCATCCACCGCTTCCGGCGAAGCATTCATTGTTCTGCTCCAGTGTTTGTCACCGTTTGACTCTAGCGAGTATTGCTCCGGCCTCGTTTTCTCGGCCTTATTCGGTAAGTTCTCAATTTCTTCTTTTTAATTTATGTCTTCCACTGTTCTCTTAATATGTTTTCTATTCAAATTTGCCACATGTTTATATTGTATCTATTGCCATTGAATCTGTATTCGTAGCTATACTTTGTTTTTCTTCATTCATTCCCTGATTTTGGTTACCATTTTCTATATTTGCAAATCAACCTTTGTTCTTGAATCTATTTTGTGCTTCAAGATTTCATCATTATGTTTCTAGAATGTCAATTTGTCCTGCTTGTGATTTTCATACATTGGCACACATCCACTCAATGTTTGTGAATATGTAACTGCCCGTTTTTCTTGAACGTTGCTTTCTTGATTCTGAATCGTGATCCTCTCTGTTTTTCTTGTTTTGTTTCCAGATTGTTGCTTTTAATTCTTGTTTTTGCATCAAGTTAGGTTTGGGATTTGATTTAGAACCCTGTTCTTAGGGAAACTGGAACAAATTTCCCCTTAGATCTTCAAAAATCCTTGCCCTAGTGCCTATTTTGGTCTAGCTGAGGTTCTAAAATCCCTGCTAGTGTCTTTTCTCTAAAATCCTTCACAAAACACATTAAGCCGAGATCATGGGTATGTTTAGGTGGAGAGTAGACACCCCGACCAAACTAGAATACTTCAGGCAAGAGTTCTCCATCCCAGCCGACGTCCAAATCAGGTTGGCTAACAATGAGGACTCTATTATGCCAAATACGAACTCCATGTTTTTCCCAGCAGTTGTTTTCATTGAGTGTGGATGTAGACGTGCCCGAACGTCCCGGGAGGGAAATCCCATTTTGTTCATTTGGGCTCAATACAGTTCAGACTCAAATTGTCACGGTTCTTAATCTGATCTTACAATGTGCGATGTGAGATTGATAAATCACCAAAGAGTCCAAATTCGGCAAATCGTTTTGAAAAATAGACTTTTAGAAAGAAGTGCCAAACATGGACTACTTTGCCAGATATAGAGTCGCCACCTAAATGTTTTATTTTTGAGAAATTTAGGAAACCCTGACTCGTTGCCTAAGGCCACATGTCCGTCATCACCAAAGTTGCCTCGGCTCGAGAACTTGGGTATGATTGGGAAAGGTCACTTCGTGAGCAGATCAAAGATCGGCCTCTACTAACCATGATATCGAGTTTTGAAAACATTATATGCTCTTATTCCGATTATTAGCCTAGATTTACTACGTGATGCACACAACATACAAGTATAGACTGGGTCGTCTAAGTTGGAACAAAACATCTCATGTTTGTTTTTGAAAGCGGTTTGCTACTCGCAAGTAGGCTAAAAATACAGATTTTTCCATCCTCGGGTGGGTTTAGAAAACGCAGTTTTGCCACTTTCGAGTGGGCTTAAAACTTGCATTAAATGCATCGTTCCAATTCAAATAACCCAACCTTCAACCACAGGCACTCAAGCAGTTATATCACATAAGCACATAACCTCATGGTAAAGCATGCTATCATGGCAACACTCACACGCATGCAAGGATGCTAAATCATGAAAACTTACCGAGTACTCTAAGTCAAAACAGAAACTAGTTAGTGAACATGCATTAATCC